AAAATCAGCTTACCTTGTTCAAATCTGAAGACTTCATAGTCTCTACCCTACCACTCAAGTTTTTTAATCATATTGTCATGTAATAAGTACATTGTGAAAATTGTTACAGCCCTGGTAACAGGTTTATAACTGTTCTGCCAATTTTGTACCTCAGGACGTGTTTGTTCACTGGTACTTACTTGTGTAGTTTATCACCATCGGAGCTTTATCTTACTGAAGTCATGTATTTATCTGTGAATTCATATATGTATATGCTTCGGTATTTATTTTTTTTATGTTTGTGCCCTGTGTCATTCCTGAAGACATGGGTAGACCTGTGAAGACCCAGAAAGCAGAAGACAAAAAAAGATAAAAAATGCAGTAATTCTTTCATCCCTTCATATCTAGGCAATCTCATGATTTTGGAGGTGCATGACTCATGGTCACATACACTCAGAGAGCATAATACTAATTCCACTTGATTTCAAGTTGCCTCCCTCCAGGGAAATAGTGCTCTTTCACTACAGGAGTCTGACTGAACATGCATGTATGGCATGTGCAGGCTTTTAGCTGTGTAGTTCTCACACACAGTCTGTAGAGAGGCAAACACACAAATCCACACGATTCCTGTCAGGAAGTCCACTCCCACATTTCTCAATGCAATGTGATAATCTTTTAAATGCTGCCTGCAGCCCTCAGTCAGTGCTGTCCCTTTCCTCTCAAGTCCATGTTGATGTTTTTGTTCCCAAAAACCCTCATCATTTTTGGGTCTTAACTCATGCAGCACGTGATGTTCTAGTCTCTAAATGAGAACTGGGTCTCAAGGAACAGTGTTTTACAGTCATATTTTCTCTACTTTTTGGACTGTTCTGTCGACAGAGTGAGTCTCAGAAAGCTCAGCTCTTGACCATGGAATTTATGATGGTTCACTGTAATTTTTTTGCTGGATGCTTTTTTTTTTTCCTGCTTCTTCATAATGAGAAGTTTAAAAATAGTCTGTGACTCAAGTATTCATTGTCAATGTACATGAGATTGCATACACTCAGCTGCAAGTGATGTTGAATCTACCTTAGACTGTTGTCTTGTGGAAGAAAAGAAGCTGGGTTTTTTCCAAATACTACCTTTTTTTTTTTTTTAATTTAAATAAAGTTGAGACATAGGGTATGTGGTAATAGTGTAATAGTCATTTGCCACAGTATGGAGGGAGGTTATGCTAGTTTCCATGTGAGGGAAAAGTCAGCATTGCAGCTGTAAGTATGAGCCTTCTTGTACTTTCATAGCAGTCTTCTGAGAGTCTGTTAACCACAATTTTAAATTTTTACTGAAAGCTTACACTTCTACCACAGTTTAAGGAAAACCTCTGTATGGTAAAATACTTTGGGAAAAACACATCCAGAATAAATATTGGACATTCTAAGTGTCCAATATTTAGTCATTTTAATACACAAAATCTGTGTTATATACTATGTTAATACCATGTTAATACCATATACTGTGTGCTTGGCTATGAAAATCAAAAAGTTTTGTAATCACTAAACTCACAGCTTTCACAGGAGGCTATCTCTAGCACCTTGTTTCCTCATTTAAATATTAATTTAGGAGATTTTGCAGATGTCTGCATTATTCCCAAGATTGATCCTGTGAATTTCAAAGTAATGGAAGCAGGATTTCCTCTGAGAGTCTTTCCTCTAGGACTACTTTCCTCTTTGGAGGTGTGGCTTTACTGCACATAATCATGCTTATTTAAGTAGTTTGTGTAGAAAATGACATCCCGTTGATTTCAAAGGGGTATTTTTACATGATAACCTCTTAAAAGGTAAAGTACAAAACTGCAGAGGAAAGAAATTGGAGCTATAAAGAGCAGAGTCATGAGGTAAACCAAACTGTGAGATGCGTAAAATTAGTGGTATTACTTGCAGGTCACCAGAGAAATGACACTATTTCAGTTTAAAGTGCAAGGATGTAACCTGTCAACACAAAAGGGTGGGGTCAGACATCCAGGCCAGCTACTGTAATCACTTTCAAAAGGTGTCTACATACGACTGTATCCCTGAGGAGTTGTACAAAGGTGCATTTTCAGGTGCTGGTATCTGAAGTTGCAGTCAGAAGTTTGAAAGGGGGTGCCTGGCAGCCCTTCGCCTTTGCAGAACCTGTGAGTCGGGCGCCTCTGACACACGGATGAGCATCTCCACTTGCAGATACCAGGTTAATGTTTTAAAAACCTCTTTTGGAGGTTTTTAAAGTCAAGTCACAGGAGCTTTCTTCTCCCTCCCTGTCTGTGACTTGTTCCAGTTGTCAGTTGTCAGGAACAGCCCTCAGTGTCGCTCGGCACTGCAATTTCCTTTCAGCTCTCTCTTGGAGGAAGTGAAACCACTGAGATGTATTTTTGCTTTCTGAGGTGCCAGAGCAAAATGAAGCACTGCAGGCAGGAGAGAAAGGTAGCTGAGTAGAGCTGCCCTTACAGCAAGGAGGAAAACCCCATAATCTCTCTGTGATAGCTTCTGACAATGTTTCAAAGCACACGATAAAGTGTGCGCTGCATTTACCAGAATAAATACGCCACAGGCCAGTCTTCACCTTGGGTGTTTTGCTTCTCTTTCTGCTGTCAGCAGTAAAAACTGCAATTACATTAGATGAACAAGTAAGTAATAGCTTTCCTGTTATTTAAGGAAATGTGTGTGTTCATTCTGAAGAAGCTCTACTCTTACTGCTTAAACTCAGTTTTATTCAAGCCGTGAAATAAATTTTAAGTCTTTGTCATTGGTAAGGAGGAAAAAAATCTGATTATAGACTACAAAGAGTTAGCAAGTTCCTTTTTTGGATTGGCTGAAATACTGAAGTATGAAATTGACATATTTAGCAATTAAATTAGAACCCATGTAACAGCACAGGGAAAATGAAACTAACTTCTAGTGTATTTATAGCAAAGTAGATGGAAAGTAAGCCATGCTGAATAGCCCCAAAACTTGGACAGATATTAGAAAAATACCTTAAGAGTTTGGCAGCTTTCAGAATGGAGCAGTTCCTGTTTTGGTTAGCAAGGGTAACTACATGTTGTGTTGTACTTTGTAAAATATAAAGTTATGTAATCTAAGAGGGTTTTTTTTTTTAAAAAAAGTAAAATATTTAGCATACTGCCAAACAGTAACAGCTGTTAATAGGAACATCCATATCTGTGTGGAAGTGTCGGAAAGAAGACATCATAAGCATTAATAATAAGACTTTAATTAATAAAAGTTATGAAATAACAATTGATATTCCTGTTTTGGAAGAGAAAGAAAGTTTTCATTCATCCGTAGATCTTTGTAAAGCATTGGCTATTGAGTTCTAGAATTTGACCACCCTTTGGAAAACATGGATTAGTTCCACTTTAATAGTAACTGTTGCAGTTTTAGCTTTAAAAGCACAGAAAGAAAATCAAATGTTTTCAGTTCAAAATGACTGCTCAGCATCTTTAATGTCTTCCTGTATCTTTGTGGTTGAGAAGTGTGTCTGTCTTGTGATCTTGAGTGCTTTGCCCAAGAGAGATAACAAGGGCTTCTTTGGTTTTGAGTGTCCTCTTGCAGTAAAGATTTTAAAAAATGTACTCAGACTCTTCATACTTCAAAACAAAATACTGATATGTACTAAAAGTTGTAATGAACAAACCTGTTTAAAGGTTTATGGGATGATAAAAAGTGAGCTTGTTATTAAGCTTCTCCAAGATACTCTTGAATTAAAAATACAGATTCGTGTTTCATGTCCTGAAGGACAAGTTTCTTCTATTTGCTGGAACCCCTGAGGCACCCTGTGTCTGATCACACCCAGCTGCCCACATACCAGCAGTTAAGAGGAAACCTTTTCCAAATTCAGGGACTTACTGTCTGGCATCTGCAGAGTTGATGTTTTCATTAAAAGGAAAAAAAAAAAAAGAAAATATTTCCAGTCCCTGTGTTTGCTAAGCAAACCTTTCATATGTACAGTAAATGTAAACAGATGTAGTCTTCCTTCCCCTGTCTGAGACTCCAGGAGAGCTGCAGCACAAAGGCAGCCATTTCCCAGACAATTCTACCTGAAAATACCAGCTCACCTGTGTCTTAATGGAGACACTGGGAGGGTCAAAAAATTGTTGCTGACAACAGAACAAGTGATAACATTTCACAAGTCAAGTTTCTGAAGCATTGTTTGGGGTCTTCTAACAAGAACTTTTTGTTCCTTTGAACAAAAGTACAAACCAGTCATTGGGTGTAATCAAACGTAATTTTAGAAGTGGAAATGTGATATAGGATCTACTTATTGGTCACAAAAAGATACATTTAAAAGGGTATGCTCACAATTGTTATGAAAATCCCTAGAAAGTAAATGTCTTGCTTTTACTGCATAAAATATAGGACATAGAAATGTTAATCTTTACTTGCTTTTCTTCTGAAAACCAGTGTCTTCAGATTCCATCCAGAGAATCTCAGTGTTGTTTGCTGACCCATGGTATTTAGTCTGTCCTTTGTATTTCTGCATGGATATCTATAGATACATATAAAATTGATATCTTTAAAAAAATTGATGTGTTGTGTCTGCATTCACTGATCATGTAAAACACTAAGCCAGAAAAGGCTTTATAATGGTTGCTTCACTGAATTATTATCTTCATTTGAGTAGCAGTGGTTATTTGTCATGACATTGAAATAATCCTGGTTTCAGATTTCATTACAAATGTGAAAATCAGATTAGATTTGTGACTCATCTGATCAAATCGGGCAGTTTTAGTGTCTCAATTTGAAATCACTCCATATATAGAGAGAGCTTCTATACCATTTCTGAGCAACTTCAGTTGGTATTTTCTCAAAAGTAAAACTGTCTGAAAGACCTTGATCCTAAAGAGAAGAGAGTTCTAGGGATTTAAATATGGGGTTTTTTTCTGCAACTACGTTGCGTATTTTTGTAGCACTTAGTAAGACTATTTTGAATGTATAAATATTCCTCAACTTGCTGTCCAGAGACTGTCTGTTTCAAAGTACTGACTGCACACTTTTTTCTTCTCCTAGTGGCCACAGATGTCTTCAACTCCAAAAGTCTGGCCATTCAGGCCCAGAAGAAGATCCTTGGAAAAATGGTTTCCAAATCAATAGCAACTACTTTGATTGATGATACAAGCAGTGATGTTTTAGATGAGCTTTACAGAGTAACAAAGGAATATACACAAAATAAAAAAGAAGCAGAGAAGATAATCAAAAACCTCATTAAAATAGTCCTCAAATTGGCAATTCTCTACAGGAACAACCAATTTAATCAAGATGAAATAGCCCTGATGGAGAAATTCAAGAAGAAGGTTCATCAGCTGGCTAAGACCGTGGTCAGTTTCCATCAGGTGGATTATACCTTTGACAGGAACTTTTTGTCCAAACTGTTGAATGAATGTAGAGAGCTGCTCCATGAAATCATTCAGCGTCACCTAACTGCGAAGTCACACGGACGCGTCAACAATGTGTTTGATCACTTCTCTGATTGTGAATTTTTGGCTGCCTTGTACAATCCCTTTGGACCTTATAAAATCCATCTGCAGAAACTTTGTGATGGGGTCAACAAAATGCTAGATGAGGGGAACATATAAGTACTTGTATTATAGGTGACTGCCTATCAGTTATTTGTAGATGGAACACTGTTGATTTATGAAGGAATAAGGGAGCATGCAAAGAGGTTTTTTTACATTATGACAAATCTTTCCTAAATATCTCTATTAATTGATTTCTTACTTTGCGCTATCTGTTGCTATTCAGAGTCCATCTGGAAGAAAAACTGCACGTGACTTTTTTACTGTGCTTTGCCTATGGAAACAGCTCGATAAAGACAATCAAACAGAATGGTTCAAGTAGAGTAAGAGTCTTGCAAGATAGATATACAAACCAAAACAATACACTGTCAGACAATCTGCATCTTTCATAGATTTACAGAATTAATTCTCAATTATCAGAATCCAGTAATGTTGGTAACAGACTATCATGGTGGTGGTACACTCTGTAATTTCTTTCATTTACTTGTAAAATAGGCATATTTGATTCAGTTATAGTCTTTTATGCTCTCTGCACAGATAACAGCTTCCTAGTGTTGCCATTATGAAGCACTGAGTTTTAAATAAAATCAGTGATGCTGTCACATAGAGTCTTAACAGCAGGCTTGTGCATCTCCAGCTCAGAGGTGAAAACTTCCTGACTGCCAGGCAGGATCTCCCAAGGAAGAGATCCTTATAGACCTGCACAGGTGCTTGCTTCCTTTGACCACATGGGGATTATTTGAGGAATAAGCTACAGGAAAATAGCCGAACAGGGGAGGAGCATTCCCAAGAAACTGCTTGTGGTACAGAATTTTAACTCTGCCTATGATAAGATAAAACACAGTGACTTCTCTGTGCAATTCCTTAAGATTTTTAGAATTCTGCTAGTAGAATCATAGAATCAATCATTTGGGTTGGAAGGGTCACAATTCTTTTTGAAAAGATGTGAGTCAGTATATCTGATGTACTAGTCTGATGTGTATGATGATGTGAATTCACCAAAGTTGATAAATAAATTGCAAGCCAATTTGCTTTGTGTACAATGAAAGTAGAAGCAGAAATTAATGTTATCATTGTGTTATATACTATTTAACTAATGGAAAAATGGAACTTTAAATAATTTTTTTTCTTCTTTTCTTACTTCTCACCTTTTATCCTTCTTTTTCTTCCTCATCTTCTCTCTGCCTTGACATTGGGGATAAAAAATGTGACTTTCTAGACACTGTAATGTACTTAAAAGCATGAAGTTAATACATTTCAAACAGCCAAAGACTTTTTGTTAGGAAGCATATAAAGATTTTGCTGTTTATTTAATTGCCAGTGTTTTTGCTGTTTGCTGTGTCCTTTTGTTTTAATGAGTAAACCAAAGAATATTTGCACTCCAAACTTCTCTTGTCTTTTTTTTTCCCCTTATCATATTCTAAATACTAAATTGTGCCAGCAACAAAAGCATTGCAACAATTTCAGCACTACTTGTGATTTTTAAGAGAAAAATTTAAGTTTTATTCCTGTTAGGTTGGTCATTAGGCTCTCAATATTCCTGGAAAGCTGCCAGAGAAATGTGTTCAAAATGTGAATCCATTCAATGGAAGCCACTGGTGTTCAGCAGAGAGAGAAGATTGATGTACTGCTTGTCTGGAAACAGCTGGGAACTGATGAAAGGACAGTACACCGGGATTTGCCAAGAACTAACTTATTAGGTTGACATCTGAAGGAGTTTCATGTAAGATTTCTTCCCATGCTTTGCCTAAACAGTAAATATGCTGTGTTCTGTCCATCAGAAGTCATGTGTAGGGATGCAACATCACGGAGAAAAATCACACAAATTGTAAAGAGTTTAGTTTCTGGTGTATTTATTTTATCTTCCTGCCTAGAAATACTAATTCTTCCTCCTGGGGTGAGAATAAAAAGGAACTTGACTTCTAGAAATTAAATCAGTTTTATCTACAAATCCTATTTTTAAACTGTGTCCTGATTCTCCCAAAATAGCCTAATTTACAACAAATGGTAACAGTCACTGAAAGGAGGAGACAGTACCTTGTTTAGAACCAGGTGTATTACATGTGCATGCTGTGTAAAACACAGAAGATTATCTTTGGCCATGAACTAGAATATTGTGATGCTGAAATTTGAGTTTTCTCTGGGAAAAAAAAAACTGCTTAAATAATCTTTGCACATTGATAATTAACACCTACTTACATGTGTATGTGCCATGTACATTTTCAGTACCCAGAGCTATTGAGTGTTGAGCTGCACTGTCTGGCCATTTACTTGTTAGAAAAAGTGAAAATTGCCCATGGAGATTTGATTATAAGCATGAAAACTTGACAGCTAAGAGAACATATATTTAGCTCACATTTGAGTTACATTTTTCTGAGATGCTGTGACATTGGTTCTTGTCTGGCATTCATTTTGAATTACAAAAAAGTGAGTTCCATAATTATGAAAGAAATCAATTGTGTTTGATTTTCAAACACCTACCATGTTCTTCTGACATAGCACTCAAGCACATATACTTTTGCAGTTAATTTTTTTTTTCCTGCAGCATACATAAATAGTAGCTTTAATTATGAAAATTCAGAAAGAAACTGACAGCATTTTTGCCTGTAGTACACTTGTATGAAGGCATTGACCCTCTAGCAGAAACTTGACATAGTCAAGATTTTAAAAAAGGTTACAGTCTCACTGTTTAATTATGGGTAGCATAATCCCATAATTTAGTATTGCAAAATTGATAATGCTGTGTTTTAATAGGGTAATAATTATTAATACATTAAAATCCAGTCACCATTTTACAATGGGCATTTAAATCTCAGTACTTCAGGTGATGCGTATTTTTAATGTCTTTTCAACAGTTAGTTAATATGTAAAGCCTAATGCCATCAAAATACATGTTGAAGTTCTGTAACTTAAAGCTAATTTTATAGCTTTTTAGAGGCATTGAAAAAGTGCTAAGTCAGACCTTGGATACATTTTACAAGATGTAAACAAACACGATCTCATCCATATAACGAAAACAAAATATAGGGAGGTTATCTGGGCCATTGTGTGTGGGCTTTTGGCTTTTGGCCACTACTTAATTATGTTTGTGTGCACAGACAAACAAAAAGACACAATTGAGTAAATTACAAGACTTATTCTTGGCCTTGAGTTCTCTTGAGATCTCTTGTATCTCCATTTAGGAGGTACAGAGATCATAAGGAATCTGGAAGATTTCAGCAACTGATGTGGAGTGATTTGTGGTTTTTTGGGTTTTTTTTTTCCCCAAATCATGTCTCCTCTAAAAAAAGATTCAACCCCACCCATAAATTCTTGTAAAACAATAGTGAGGACATGGCCAATTGCTTTCTCATATCTCTCCCTAGTGAGATTACATTTTCCCGAGAAAACTGGGAACTGATTGTGATGACAGTTAGCTTCAGTAACTTTCCAGCCCCTTCTAGTTGTAATGGCTATAATATGACTATTTAAAGGTAAACTGGAATTCTGCATGTGGCTCTTCAAGGGACCAGAGGGTGCACATTTTCAGGGGCTAGCAGAGAGGGACCCAGCCCACTTCATTGTAGAGGGCACAGCGTTAAGAGTGGGATGGTGAGTTGTACATTGCATGGGCTTGGATGGTCTCTCTGCAGTGAGTGTTGGCTGTCTGGTGATCGCCCACCACAGCTTTCCTTTGCCTTCTGCTGCCATTCTGGGCAGCTGACACTTCAAAGACAAGTCAACTCCTTTCCTACTGTTTTTACCTCAGGATTGCATTACATGGTAATCTAAGGAGAAGAGTTGATAGGCTACATTACCTGCTCTACTTAATGAAAAACCACAAATAAACATCACTTTCCTGATTTGTTGGGTTTTTTAATGGTGGGGGGAGGGTTGCATTGGCAATGTAATTAGATCTCTGAAAGAACAATCTACATCTTGATTTAGCTGTTAGTAATGTTTTGGCTATAATCTATACCCTCATCAGTGTGATTTTCAGTACATGTACTTCTAAGCCCTTTTCTTTTTCCCAGAAGTGCTTTTGAACGTATTACTTCATATACATGAGATGAAGACTCCTGTTTGCATAACCATTTGCAGAAAAACTTTGTTACAACTGCTTTTAATGGAGATCTGGGCAGGTCAGCCAACATTCATGGTTAAGTGGCAAACATCTGTGCTTTGGATAAAACAACTGTCAAAAGAGATTATAATTGTCCAGGAAAGCTCTAATATGCATTTCACATAAATGAAACGTCTTTTGGGAGGGGAAAGTTTCCTATTTATCTTAAAATCAAATTGCTGTGCAAAGCTGTGACTATTAATCCGAAAGTTTAGACTTGGTAATGTAGTTATTTCCAGTTTGTGAAAAAAAAGACACCAAAACCCAACAGAACAAGAAAACTTGCATTTGAAAGAAGTTTTGAAATAATTATCCATTTTACTATTTTAATATTTTCAAGCTGAATTTTGCCTACTGCAAAATTGACATATTGCAGCTTTGTAATTCATATATAGTATTAAATATTATAGGTTAACGTGATTTCTTTTTATGTCTATAAAAACAAAGGAATAATATCTCCATACACACTATGTCAAAAAGCTTTCTTTCACAATTACAATAGTGCTCAGTCTGTATAACAAATCAAATTTTCTTAATGTTTAAACTACAAACTGCTGAAGTGACCTCGCTTTTCTTAGTACTCAGTTTTACTATTTAGAGTTCTGTTTTCTGATTTTAATGTTCAGATTTATGGGCAAGACACTCCTGAATCAATATCCACTTTTTCTTGTGAGCTTGGGAAATGCAAGTGCTGATATACATCTTATAACCATCTGTAAATTTCTACTTGCTAGCACAACACCAGTTTCTGGAGAAACATCCCTTACGGCATTTCTTTCTATTAGGGAGCAAATTGAAAAGAGGCGTCTTATAACTTTGGGATGTACCATAATTACACAGTATCAAACAAAGAAGCAGGCTTTAATGATTAAGAATAATGTAATTAAGAAGGTACTTTGCTTGCCCAGCTTTCCCAAGCAATCAAAACTTATTTGCTATTTGTTGTTTTCCCCTGTGGGAAAGTCTTAGTATGGTAGGTGGAAGACAAAGGCAGAGCTTCCTATAGTCACTGTGATTTAGATTTAAATTATTTTTACATGTAAGGCCTTCCACTGTCTACTCTAAAAATCTTAACACTGAAGCTTTTCCTTGGCTTTATGACAAATTAATTCCTATTTCAGTTTGCATTATATATTTGAGTTTAAAATGTGCTTTTATTGTGCACATAAATATGAGCAGAAGCAAAACAGCAGCTGGCCTTGTGCCTCATATCATGCTTTCTAGATACCTTGGGGTTTTTTCATCAGATGTTTTGGTTTCTTAGTGGATATAATTCTGAAGGTTTTCATCAATTCAGGTCATTCTAAGACAAAAATTGTTTGCGTTTCACACAGTTGTTCTCCAGT